AGCTCCAAGTTAAACCGGCAGAGAGAAAACAAAGAGGGGCCGCAGTAACGGCGACAGCGACAACAGAAGCGGCGGCGCGTCCGTCCATCACCCCCCCCCCCACACACACACACGCACTCCCCTCCCTCCACGCGCCCTCACAGCAGCCGCCCGGGGCCGCAGGGCTGGCGTTAGTCCGACTGCCGCTCCCTCCTCCATGCATGTGTGGGGCGGGAAAGGCAAGGGCGACGCCGCGGCCTCCACCGCGCTGCCTTGGACAGCACACACGCCTCTTCTACCCACCACCACCACCACCACCACTTCAAGGGGATGTGGACGAAGAGGAGGAGGACGCAGAAGCACTTTCCGAGGCCTCTGACGAGCGCACAATAAACCCCGAGAGGCTCGATGTGTCGTCCTCGCTGAGCGCCTCCCGCTCCTCCGTTGACGTGGAGGAGCGCAGACTGCCACTGGAGGAGAGCCCCAACTCGTGCGAGCAAGCGACGCAGAGGCCAATCTCAGAGTCCAGCCTGGGCCCGTCGCACGCCTCGTGGCGCAGCGAGTGGCAGTGTCGGCACTGGAACATCTCCCCGCCCTCTTCGCCACAGCCGGCGCACGTTAAAGAAATCATCGCCGCCGGCGCAGGCAATGGTGACGGCGGCTTTCTTGCCGTCGTCGGCCTATTCACTGCGGTTGTGGTGTTGGCCGCAGCGCCCTGCATCACTTCCTCCTCAGGGGCGGCGGAGGTTGCGGGCGACATCGCCCCTGCGAGTTCCTCGCCCCCGGGCTCTCGCCCACGTTTGCCCGCCCTCCTCGCGGAGGCCTCCGCGCGGGCCGGGAAACTCGCCTCCGCACCGCCACCACTACTCCTGTCGGCTCTCGCCCCGAAGGAGGCCTCCTCGTCGTCACTCGCGTCCTCCGCGGCCCAACGGAGGAGGGCCTGGCCCCCACGACGCACACGCCCCAGCAGCGCCGCGTGGCGCTGGCAGAACCGATCCGCCAGCCGCTGCTCCTTGTTGAGAAGCCGCAGGAGCGTCCGCTCGTTCGCCGTCAAGGCCGGGGCCGCCGCGCCTCGCGATGACGGGGACGAAGGCGGCAAAAGCAACTCCGCTAGAAACGCGTCCAGCGCGGACGGGACGAGCTGCCGCCATCGCTCCGTCCGCCGTCCGTGCCGCCCGTTGTCGCCGTGCTGCCCGTGCCGCCGCCCCGCCGCCGCGAGCGCCTCCGCCGGGAAGGCGCGTTGCAGGAGCGGCAGGACCCCCTCCGCCCACTGCGCCGCCTCCGCCTCCGCCGGCTGCACCGCGCCACACGACGACGCGGCGTCCCCGCCGCTGGCGGCGTAGAGGTGGTACACGGCGGCAATCGCACGCCACTGCCGCGGCGTCAGCTCCAGAGGCATCGGGGCCGAAGAACGGGCAGACGAACTCAAGTCCCGAAACGAATCAATAAAAGGAGAAAAATCCCGACACCAGCACAGTCGCACAGAACACGCAAAGCTCCGGCAGCGGTGCTTCTTCGCTCACGCCGCCCTGATCGGTTGCTGCTGTCGCCGTTTCGCTCGCGCCCGGTGCTGCTGCTGGCGCCTCCCCTTCCCGTCGCGTGGGTGCCCACACGATGCACCGCGGCCCAACGAAGCCCAACGCCACCAACAACAAAATGAGGGAAGAACGCAACGAACGATTCCGCGAAGGCGAAAAAAACAACTACTGAGGCCGCAGCATCAGCGAGTCAACAGCACTGCGGCAAACACAGTTGCCAAATACACAACAAAACAATAAAAAAAATAGAAAAGAAATCAAATTCTTACCTGTTGCCTCCCTTCACTCCTCCGCCCCCTGTCCCTCCCGCTTGTGTACACGCATGCACACATTGATAGATGGGCGGCAGCCGTCGCTCGCACGTTTTCCCCCTCTGACCATCCTAAAAAAGACATTGGCGTACGCACACGCACACACACACGCAGATATATATATATGTATGTATATATCTTTTCTGTGAAGCAGCACGCCCACAAGCGCGCAGAAAGGGACAGGAAGAGTGGCGGAGATAAAAACACCGCCCACCGCCTCCGCTAGAATGGCATCAACCCCCTCCCCCTTCGCTGCCGCTCATGCTACTCCCCTCCCCCTCACCCAGCATCGCACACCAAATAGTAATAATAATAATAATAATAATATAGATATGGTGTTAATTCCTCTTGGGTCTCCGCAGCCGCACGCGCCTGACTGCGGCCTCAGCGGCGCCGCCACACTGTGCAGTGTGAGAACCCCAATTGATAACGCCGGACGTGGTCGCGAATCAAAAACGCCTCCTCCGTCTCGTTGAGGAGGTCAAAGTCCTTCATGAGGATCGCCTTCACGGCATCCTCCGACCGCGGCCCGCCGGGCAACCCGCCGATCCACTTGCTCTTCGGCGTCGCCCCTTCCCACCACGAGTACGGCGAGGCGAGCACGAGGATGCCGCCCTTGCGAAGCAGCTGCGGGAAGGTGTCCAGCAGCTTGCGCGGGTCCGGCACGCGGCAGAGGAGGTTGGCCGCGAGAACCCCGTCGAAGAGCTCCCCCGCGGGCACCTGATACCATGCCACATCGGCGTAGCGGCTGGGCGGCCGCCTCGCCGCCTCCGCACCGCGGCCGCTCTTCTCCAGCAGGTCCATCGCATCCCCGCGAAAGAACTGGCAGCGCCCCGGGGATGCCCCGAGCGGCACACGCACGTTACGGCTCACCTCGATGTCGCCCTGGTCCACTGCCGTGTACGGTATCCGGGCGCCGCGCTGCGTCGCAGCCTCCCGCAAGATCTCGTTTGCAAAATGAATGAAGGTCTCCGAGTAGTCAACCCCAATCACGCTGCTGAAGTATTTGCTCAGCTCCAGCACAGAGGCACCCGTGGCGCAGCCAATTTCCAACGCACGCGTGTGCTCGTTCTCCGTCTCCGGGCGGAACTCCTTGAACTTCTGCGCCACCCTAATTGGGAAGTCAAAGCTTCCACTAATCGTGCGCAGCCGCTGCGCGTAGCTGGTGCGCGTGGGGGTGTAGTGGAACTCCATGTACTGCCGAGCGCTCGACTCAGTCTCATAGATTTCGCTACTTTCCCGCGGGTCCTCCCCGCCCACGCTGCCGCCTCTCGCGCCGGTCCTCGCCGCGCTCGCGTCGGGCGCGGACTCCGCCAGCGGCGCCGCCTTCCGCCTCGACAGCAGCCACACCGCCGCCGTCGTGACCGCAGACGACGCCACCGCCGCCGCCGCCGCGGCAACCGCGAGCCTCTTCTGCTCCGGCGAAATGTCCTTCAGCCCCTTCACCAAATTCATCCCTCACACAGCTTGTTTGCACCACCGCAAAGATAATTACCTCCCACTCCCCCGCCACGCAAACGCAAAAAAAAACACAAACAAACAATAGAGCAGTGCGACGACAGCAAGACCACAGACCGCACGCATCCCACAGCCACAGCCACAGCCACAGCCACAGCCACACACACACGCACATCTGCGGAGCAAGGCCGCAGCCCTTCACCGGGAACACCACAAAGGCCGAATCGAACGGCTGCGAGTACAACTCGCCTACGGGTTTGAAGCCCGCACCCAGCACCAGCTGAGCTCATCGTGGCACACACCACACCACCTCCTCCCCCGCAGCCCCGCAGCAGGGGCCCACGGCGCGCCAGGGCCATCAACACTACGCTACGCCCTAGCAGGTCAGCAAGACACAAGGGAAAGGCGGCAAAAACAGGCATGACCGTGGACCGGCAACGAAGGGGGCTCACGCGTGGTTGGCGGGAGGGGGCAGCGAGGCGTGCTCGCAGCAGCTGGTGGCCAAAGCATCTCTGTCAGTTGCGCCAATGCACATTGCCAAAGGCGACACACACCCGGTACCCACATCCCCCGAAAGCACCAATTTTTTTAAAAAGCAAAAAGGTGAAGCAGCGAAAGGTTAATCAACAAAACAAAGAAGGCAGAAGAAAACCAAACCGTTTCGCCGCCACTGCGGGGAGGTCAAGCAAGATCACGGGAAGGATCCGTTTCGCCGCTGAGGCGTCGGCCCGGCATCAGCGCCATGGCGCCCTCGGTTGTGAAGATGGCAGTTAAAATCCACTCCTGTACCAGTTGTGAGGCGGCGTGTGCGCCGCCACGCACGCCGCGAAGAGTCTCCACGCATCGCTCCACGGAGGGTGCTGGCCTCGTGCTGAGCCAGGGGACCACGTGACCCCGCAGTAGCCCATGATGCGCCTCGTTCCGCTTCTGCCGCTCCACCAGCTCCGATTCTGCAGCCTCGAGAGCCCCCAGCACCGCCCTAAAGCTCTGCTCCCACGCGCGGCCGCCGCACCGAACAGGCGGCGCCTCGCCGTCCCTCACATCATCCGCGGCAGCGGCGTGGACCTCGCAGGACAGTCGGTGCAGAGCCTCCGTCAAGTTGGCCCGCCAGTCGCGGAAAACCGCAGCGACGTCCCCCGTGACGTTACTTTCGCACACCGCCGGTTGTGATTGGCCGTCGCGCGGCCCGGCAGCCACGTACTCCACAGTGAAGCAGTGCGGCGCGTCTCCGCCCGTGCCACCGGCTTCGCCGTCGAGGTGCCAGCTCACCCACGGCAGCACGCGGAGAGCCGCCACGCCGGTGACCGCCTCACGGTGGCGAAGCCACTCCTCCGTCGTGGCCACCAGCGCCTCCGTGGCACGCCGCGCCATTTCCTCCGCGTCCGCCAAATCCTCCTCCTCGGACCAGCCGTTCCGCATCAGCACCTGCCCCGCCCTAGCAACTGCGCGCAGCCTCGCCTGCACATGAACGACGAAGTCCGTGCCCAAGCCACGCGCCTCGAGCTCCCCGAAAAGAGGCCCGTCTTCGACGCGTCTGGTGGAAAGGTCGGCGTCGCGGACAGGCACACACACACGCTCAAGAAACCGCAGCGAGGTGGCGGTGTACAGCGTCACCTCGCGGCGCACGCGGCCCGGCGCATCGCCCGTCGCCTCAAACCCCGTGAGCCCCCGCAACGTCGTGAGGAGAGCCGCGAGCAGCGAGGTGGGCGGCAGCCACTTCGTGTGGTCCGGCTCGCCGCCGGTAAGATCCACAGCCCACCAGTGGACAACGCCATGCGGGGCGTAGCCGTGGTTCTCCGCAGGCGAAACGAGGGGCGCCATGGTGCGCCGCACAAGCGCCGCCTCCTCCTCGTCCTCCTCCTCCTCCTCGTCGCTATCGCCGACGCACACGTCCAGCAGCACATTCTCTACGCCTCCCACGACGCGCCGCATGGCCTGCTCCACCACCTTCTCCCACCACGGCAACCGCATCCCAAACACGGGCGAGTCCAGCAGCACCGCCTCCGCCGTGGGGCGCTCCGCGGGGTCCGGCGCCATCATGGAGTCGATGAGGCCCAGAAACTCCGGCGAGAGCTCTCGCACCCGCAGGCGCCTCGCCATCAGCTGGACGCCCGGGGAAGAGGCCCAGGCAGGCCACCCACCGGGACCCTTCCGCCCACCAGCACTTGTGCCCTCCTCCGCCGCCGTCGTGTACTCAGTGTAGGCGCCTGGCCCCAGCCCCCCGTCGGCGCCGCCCGCGCCAGCGGCACCCGCACGCCGCGCCGCGAGCCGCTCCTGGGCGAGACGGAGGGCGTCGTCGTCCAACAGCGGCACCCGCATCAGCACCGCCAGCGGCGGATACTCGCCGCGCGCCACCCGGAACTGCGCCGTCGTTGCCGCGTCGGCAGCCGGAGAGGAACTGGTCGAAAAAACAGCGGCCATGCCGTCGTCCATGCTCGCCGCACCACATGTGAGAAACACGTAAAAGAGCGCCGCAGTGCTCCACACATCGGAGGCGCAGGAACAAGCGCATCGCCTGCGGTAGCCCCAGTACCGCGCAATCTCGGGCGGGCAGTACACGCCCGACCCCATCACTGTCCGCTCCGTCGCGCAGTTTGCGTCCGCGACCAAGGCAGAGATGCCAAAGTCCACGAAAAACAACTCGGTGTCGCTCTCCCACGCCGCGGAGGCAGCTCGACGCACAAGGATATTCGACGGCTTGATGTCGCGGTGGATCACTCCCCCCTTGTGCAGGCACGCCAGACCCCGCAGCAACTGCCCAAGCCAGCACACCAGGTGCTCCTCCGCAATGTGGCACGTGTGCCGCAGCAACAAATCCCCAAGCGTACCGCCGGCACCCAGCTCCATCAGCAGGTGGGCACCAACGGCGGTTTGTGATGACGCGGGGTGCAGGGCAGACGAGGCCGACTCTCCTGCCTTCGCTGTGACGCCCGGCGACAGCAGCACGCCGTGGCAACGTGAAATGTGAGGATGCGGCGGAAGGGCGGCGGCCACGCGCGCCTCGCGGAGAAACTCGCCAAGCGCAGGGAAGCTCGACGCAACTTCAGACGTCTTGCCAGAAAACGCCTGACGCAGGGCCGCCAACGTGGCCTCGTCTCCATCCCGCGGCCCCACCGGGGCACACGCGGCGGGACGAAGCAGACGCGTCACACTCTTCGCGGCAAAAAAGCGCGTCGGGCACACTCGGCTCTGCACAAGCAGCACCGTACCGAAACTGCCACCGCCAATGGGACAGAGAAAATCAAAGGGGCAGTTGTGGGCGTCGTCGCGCGGGGAGCACGCTTGACGGCTGTCAGCCCAGCGACGACCACCGGAGGGCTGCGTACCGCGAGCAGCAGCCGAACACATCTCCCGGGCAGCGTCCAGCGTTAGCCGCAGCAGCGGGCAGTCCACAGGCACGCCAGGCGGCCCCCGCGCCGCGCCGAGAGCCTCAAGTGGGACAGCAGCGCCCCACCTAAACTCTGCAACCCTGTCAACAAGTGCGGCACACCAAGGCAGCGTCGCGCCGCGGGAATGATCCGAGGCACCCAACAGCATC